AGATGACCAACTCATTGAATAGTGAACTTCCTGATTTTTTGGCAAAATGGCCCATAGGTTTTCATATTTTGAGTTGTTCAGATTTTTGGCACTAAAGTTTGTGGTATTGGCAATTTGATCCTTAAATTATTAAGAGTGTTGTAAAGATAAGTATGGTCTCATCCAACCATATTCGGATTTCACCGCTTTTCGAAAACTCTCCATCTCCGTCTAAACTCATCAGCTTCAAATTTCTGTTGATCGTTGCTTTTGTTTTTCTTCTCCAATCTACAGACGGGACCATACAGATGAGGCAAGTGATTCCAACAGACACGATGCAGATGAGGCAACCGATTCCAACAGACCTAGCAAGGTTTCAAACAAAGAAACTTAGGGTTTCTTGCTTTCTTCCCCTCCATCTCCCTCTAAAAATGAGCTCTGCTGGTCTATGTTACAATGCGCCGACAAGAAAAACCCTTGCCCCTAGAGCTCAACTTTCTTCCTTTTCTTTCTCTGTTTTGATCTATCGTTAGCTTCCTTTTGTTCCTTCTTCGTTTCCTTTCCTTTTAGGTGAACGCCTAATTTTGTTGTTCAAGATTGTATATGTTTTGAATCACTGGAAAAGAACGCCCGAGATAGAGAGACTGGACAAGATCGACAAGGAAGTAGGAAGAAGCAGCAACGCACACCGACGCTGTTGCTGCTGGTGCTCTCTATCTCTCTTCATCTGTTAATAAAGGCCACACGTTGAGTTTTCAAGCGAATACCATTGTCACTCATCATCACCACATATCTACAACTGGTGACTTGAAATCCTGCACTAGAAGTCATTGACTTTTATTTCTATGTATCCTTCCAGCCAGGTAAATCGAACCGACAATTCTTCGATAGCTTTTAAACTAACAAAACTCAGTTTTTCTTTCTATTTCGAGTCAACTCCAATTGTGTTCCCTACGATTTCAGTTTTGGGGTTACGATTCAAAGGAAGGTTTGAGAGGAGAATACGTGAAGGAGGATGAAGGCGACAGCTGTGTCAAACGGTTTCTTCCAGACATAGAATGTTCCGCAAGGTAATTAACAATATAGGGAACTTGATTGTTGCTCAAATATGTTAGGGTTAATCTAAAAAATCAAGTTCCTACCATCCTATTGGAGGATTTACCCCAAAATTAGTTATTACAATAATTGAATTGTTAATAGTTGATACCATGTACTATTTTTTCATAGGTGACATCTTCTTTTTCGAGATAAATAATTCCTATCTTTCTGGTTAGACCGGTGACTCAATCTATGCAGATAAGGTCTCTACTCTCTTAAATTGCAAAGAATATGAAGTTAACGTCAACTTGTATGTATTTTCTATGACAAATTTTTTTGTTTAAATAATGCACGCAAGGTGCTCGATGGATATCCCCGCAAAAAATTCTCATCATTTCTATAATTCATGCGCTTTTGTTGGTATGCAGCTAATTTGTACATGTCTTGGTAGGATCGTTTTAAATTTGATATCAAGGAGACACGCAAACTTGCTGCTAGAGGCATTTAATCAGTATTTATATTTTTTGTTTAAATTTTTAAATATAAATATTAAAAATTCATATAACATGGGCTTTTTTCTCAAAAGTACATAACCCAATGTTCAATTCATACAGATTGGAATACTTTGTAGATAGTTATATCTTTTCGTCTACCAATATGCTACTGTCTGTAGAATAATCTGCTAAAATAGATTAATGGTCCATCCATGATTGTGTAACCATGTAATCGGTTTATTTTTACCTATGTTTTTTTAAAAGGTATTGTATGGTTGATAGACGGATCAATGCCATCATTTATAATTTTATCTTCTGTTTATTTTAATGTTATTGTACGAGAACTTATGGAGACATAATTTCCCTGTTGGGGCAGAGGTATGTACCAATGCCATCATTTATGTTAAATCTTATTACTTTCTTTATATAGTGTTGGCTATTGATTGGATTTTTAATTTTTTTCACAGTGGGACCACTTTCACTTGATGTCTGAATACAAATGGAAACACTTCTTTATTCAGTGGAAAATGTTTGGTATGTGAACCCTGTTTCGATAAAATACTTCCTTTTTCTTGAAAAAAATTATGTTTTCATGAGAAAATATGAAGACAGAAGTACTCAGGGCTTTGTTTTCTCAGATTGAAGCAATTCAACTTGATGAAGGAAGTAGCCCCGTAGAGGTACACTCCATTTTGTATCACCATATCATAGACTGCATTATTTTAAAAAAATTTCAAACAACTATTTAAACATAGTGAAAATGTTGGCATGGTGATAGTATATAAATTTTTTTCAAAAAACGATCTAAAACCGGTTTATCTATATTTGTTTATCAATATATCTAATAACATCATAATCTGTAATCGCAGGAATTAAGTGCAATTCTGCCCACACGATAGAAACAAATAATAGTGAAAAGGGCAAACTCTGTACAACAATATTAGAACTCTTCTTTTCTATTTATTGATGGTAAATTTTGATTATGATCAATTGAAGAAACAACTTTCATGTCTCAAATCTAAATTACATTAATCTAATGATTTCACATATTTACCAAAATGAAGCATCCTAAGCATGTACAACATCTGGTTTTGGTGGGACCTGCTGGATTTACCTCAGAAGTTTACCATAAATCTGAATGCCTTACAAAATTCAGTGCAACATGGAAAGGAGCTGTTATGAAACACTTATGGGAATCCAATTTTCCTCCAATGAAAGTTCTCGGGTGATATAGTGATTATAATCTTAAATTACTTATTAATTGTTATAGGGACATTGAATTATAATATTATATAGAATTGAATATGTTTGATGTGTGGAATGTTTGATGCAAAGGTTTAGGCCTGTGGGGCCCAGGTTTGGTATGCAGGTACATAAGTGCAAGATTTCGTGACTATGCAAGTGGAGAAGTGTCGACTGGTACAGGTAATTGATTTTCTTTTTTACTTCAATCTGTTAAAACTATATACTGGTGATTCTTTTTTTAAAATGCAAAGAAGTAAAGTCTCATTGTGTCCTAACTTTTTACAAATTTATTCTTCAATATTTTTTGGGCTAAATCAAACAAAATAGCAACACACTTTCATTCATTTGTGTAATAGCATCCTACTTTCATTTCATTCTAATAAAGTGTAAAGTATTGTACTTCTATCATTATTATTATTTTCAAATTAAGGTGTTGTATTTTGAAAATTCAACCATGTTAAATATTAATTTTGATTTCCTGCATTTAATTGGTTATCCAATAATTGATGTTGTTTTTTATGAAGATTACATATACCACACTTTGGTTGTAGAAGAAAGTGGAGAACTTTGCTTAAAGTACATCTTTTCGTTTGGGATATATGCATGAAGTCCTCTGTTAGAAAGGTGTGATTATTTGTCTCGATTTGAGGTTATTGTATATACCTTTTATTTAATTCTCTTAAAATGACTTAATTACAGGTTTGACCCTTATAGTTTCTTTTTTTTTTTACTTTTGTTACCTAGAGTTTTCTACTTGAGGTAATCAAAACTAGAAAAAAAACAATAGTAAAATTATTTGGGATCATAAAGGTTAGCATTTTGTTATAGTTTTTAATTTTTTAATTTTTGTAATTACTTCTAGAAATATTGCGTACTTCAGTTTAAGCTAATATTGTGAATATTTTTTTTGTATTGTTTGACTTTAATGACCTTGGAATGTGTAACGATCTTAATTTATATTTGGGTTTGACTTCAACGGTTTTGAACTCGGATTGATGTTGAATATATTTAAGTAGTAAATTGAGTAAATAGCGATATACTTTGCATTTTGTTTTTATTCCTTTACCAAAAAACAAAGTACATAGTCATTTTTTGTTTTTCCATCTTTAGGTGCTAAATGCAATAAATAGCAACGAGCTTTGAATTTACACATTTTTTTTTTGTAATTTCTTTTACTTTTTTTTTCAAAAACCAAACTACATTGCTATTAGGTGCATTTTCCATTTTTACGAGTAAAATGACCCAAATGGCAACATACTTTCAATTTATATGTATTTTTTTTTCATTTTTACGAGTGAAATGCCCCAAGTGCATTCTCATTTAGGAAAGAAGAACCATGGATACACCAGCCGTCGGATTTAATCTCGGATTTCACAACTTCACCATTCTTTAAGGTAACTTCTATACCGGACGTGTGCTATGTTTGTTTTTTTGTTGTCTAAGATTACATTTTCTAATTTTGTTTTTATTTTTTATTGTTGCACAGCAGCTGTTCGCTGGAATACCTAAATGAATGTACATGTCAAGAATGATGCTTTTTTAGGTGAATTTGTCACCGCCATTTTTCGTTGATTTGTAGTATCACCAGGTAACTTTTGTTAATTTTTATGTTCCTTTTACTATGTTTAATACTTTAATATATAGATTGGTAATAAAATGAATGAACATTAATAGATCATGCATTTGGGAAATTGAGTTTATGAAAATACTTTTTTTTTTCAGGGTAGCTGTTGCCTGGAAAGCTGCAAATGTGAAAACTGGAACTACAGCGGTATGCATTTGGGAAAATGATTCTTATAAACTTATATAAAGATACAACTTTAAAAGGACCCATAACAATAAAATGGGACAGTGTATGTTTTTTAAATTGACTTGCTCCATAACAATACTCAAACTATAAACAAATAGTTCATCAAATGACATTTACAAAGAACAAACAATGGAAAAAATTATCGCATCCGACCCCCGCAACACGGGGGTCCCCACCTAGTTAGAATCAAAGGAGAAGGTTTCCATCAGACACATTATTGTTGTACACTAAAAACTTAGGTTAATTTTTCATTTTATTCACTTTCTCCTCTTTCGACACATTATTGTTGTACACTAAAAACTTAGGTTAATTTTTCATTTTATTCACTTTCTACTCTTTCAGAACCTAGATGCATGTCATGATATTATGAAGATTATTTAATAAAAGATTTTCATGTTTGCTCCTTATATAAAAAAACACTCAACATTAAGGGGTGCTTTTATCAATGTTTTAAAAACCGGTTTTTTAGTTCAAACGGAATGATGACTGGTTTCCGGTTCAACCGGTTTAATCGGTTCGACCGCTCAGTAAACCGATTTCTATAATTTTCATTTTTTTTCGTATTTTCGTACACATACCTATATACACAAATCCCCTAATCTAATAAATAAATATATTTATGCCACGTGGCATTCTCTTAGCGCCCCCCAATTGATTTTTCCCGCTCTCTATCATCTGACTGAATTTCCGATATTGCCCATATCAACTCTGTACGAGAAACCTGATTATTCAATACTCATCAATTTATTCCACAAATTACTCATTGTTTCCTTTAATTTTGCCTTCTTGATTTTGGAAACCAAATACTAATTCAAATTTGAAACCCCCAAATCTCGCAAGCAATTCCAAATCAACGATTTTTGAGGAAATTAGGGTTCTAAAACAAAATCATCCCCAAATTAGATGGATCCACTGAAAATAAGTTAAATCGATCGGAGGTTGTGTGAAGGTCGGAGCTCTCACAGATACAGACACACATAAGACAAAATAGGTTTCAAGCATATTCGTGATTGAGGTGAATTTACCCGCTTTTGATTTTTCTGTTTCTTTTGTTTTAGATTAAATTGTAATATAAGATTAAGGGATGGAGCTATTTCAGATCGGAGAACTTCAGGATGTACATAAGCAGGTATTTTTTCATCCGATTACACAAAAGTTGACTCAATCAACTTCTTATTTCATCCATTTAGATACATATTGATTAAATCTCTTCCTTATACTCGATTTTTTTACTTTTGATTTGTTGGATTCCATTTTTGCAGATAGAAATGGAGAAAGAACCTATACACCCAATTGCTTGGTGTGCAGTGAGTACCAAAACCCCAAGTTCAAGCATTACGCATCTGTCTGGTATGTATGTTATGTAATTACTTTTGATTTGTTGGATTCCATTTTTGTCTGTTTTGGTTAATAGAGCTTTCAAAGAATATGAAGAAAAAACAATATTGATAGGTTTTTATACACCCTATAGTTATTGAAACTGTAATTAATTAATGGTGGACCTGGAGCAAAATGGGAAAAGTCTACTATTTCACTCCAAATCATCTTTATTTTAATCTCAATTTTCCTGCTCCCTTTACCATTGAACATAAACACAGACCATCTGCCATTATGAGGTATGAATTTGTCGACCTCTTTTTGCCAATTCATTTGTAGCTTCAGATTTGTAGCAAAATAAATTTGTTTTTTTTTGTTGGTGCATTCTACTCCTTCTTTAAAGCATTTGTTGCAGGTGGGTTGATAAAGGGTTATGTGGTCTCGACTTTTGTAATCTTAAAGAATTTAATTTTAAAAGATATTATAGTTTCATCATCGAAGGACTGGAGAGATTAGTATCAAATGAATTTAATTATCCTGGATGTCCTGCCGGAGTGATTCTATCTTTCATTTTGTTCTATATACATCGTTATAGGTTGAGTTGTCCCATATTTGCAGGAGTTCTTGATTATGCTACAACTAATTAACAACATACCAGTCATTTTTTAAGATTGTCAATCCGTGTATTACAATGTTTTTTAATATATAATTAATTTAATGATTTTAAAGATTTCAATGTTGTTTTTCTTTGACTACAATTTGTAAGAGCTCAAAAACATGTTATGGTTAAAATCGTGGATTGTCAATAACGAAGGCAATCATTTTCTGCATTTAAAGGGTTATTGTTGTCATTTTCTGCATATGTAGGGTTGTTTCTGTTATTTTGCATTTAAAGGGTAATATTTGTAAGTTTTTACATTTAAAAGAATTTTCTATATTGTTCTCCATTAAAAGGGTAATTTATGTAAGTTTATGTACTCAAAGGGTGATTTTTTGTAATTTTCTGCATTTTAATCGGTAATTTCTATCATTTTCTGCATTAAAAAGATATTTTTTGTAATATTCAGCATTTAAGGTTTAATTTTTTTCATTTAATGTATCTATAGGTTTATTTTGGGTATTTCTACATTTGAAAGTTTATTTATGTTATTTCTCATTTAAAGGGTAATTTTTGTAAATTTCTACTTTTAAATGAATTTTTCAATAATTTCTGCATTAAAAGGATAATTTCTATAAGTTTATCTTGTGATCATTCATTGAGAAATTCTCTCGAGCAGCAGGTCAAATTAATGTAATACAATTTTTAATTTTGAATGTTAGTCTTTATGATAGTGAATTTTTAGGCCTGAACAAATGTGGCGATAAATTAAATGGAGACAAGCAAAGACACAATTCAAGTGGAACAACTAAATGTTGGAAGTTTTTATTGATAACAAGCTTGATCTATACATGCTTCCTGTTATTTAAATATGTATCCTTTTTAATGATGTTTTCTCTCTCAATGGATTTTTCAGGTTTGCTCAAAAGCTGTAGTACGTGGAAATAAGAATAAGAGACTCAATACAAGCATCCTTATTCGTTATCCTAGATCTTCTGGCATATCTAACATTCTTATAGATGCTGGCAAGTATGTAAAAACATGCTTCCATCGCTGATTTCATCCTGTTCGTTAGACATATAAGCTTTTTCAGAATTTTGTATTAAGATAAAATTGGACTCTTTTTTTGCCATTATTGTTTTGGGTTAAATTTGCATTTGTGCAACAAGGTTCAGCCTTTTCCCCAATTTATGCAACAAAAAAGTTCTTGAAACGAAATATGTTGCAACCACATTTTATCTTAGGACCAAAATATCCAAAATTATAACTAAAAATCAGCTACATCATGATGTGGCATCGGTTAAACGCTTATTTATGCAACAATGTTTTACTTCCTTTTCTATTTATCCAACATTTTTTCACTTTTTAAGGAAACATGGTTGTTAGATATGGGGAGGAAAAAATGGTTGTTAGATATGGTGATTATCAAATTTTCTTGATTTCATTAGAATCGTGTAAGTTCGCTGTTCTTATACAATAATTTCACCTACAAGTGTCTGGGTGTCAAGAACTTTGTACTTAGGATAATCCAAACTAATGACACTTTCAAGTTTAGGAAAAAAGTGAGAAATCCTTATAACTAGATTCATGTATGGAGAGTTCACAATTGTTGCACTTTGTTACCAGTTTATGCAACCATTTTTTAGCCGATTAATCAAGTTATAGGTAAAATATCGAATCTTTGATTTTTGGTCTCCTATAGAATCAATAATTAAATCGCAATAAATCTACAACTGTGATGCTTATTTAAAGATTGTATAGAGATAAATATGGAAATCGTTATCGATGTATATAAAGATTCTTTAATAAGAGAATTGAAGAAGTTTAATCCATGATTCACCCTCCGTGACTTCATCTTTTTTGGCATTCATGTGGATCTAAAATGTCAAAACTTTACGGTTTAGATTTGTGTTTTTTGGCATTCATGTGGATCTAAAATGTCAAAACTTTATGGTTTAGATTTGTTTTTTATATTTTTGTGCAAGTGACCAGCATAAAAGTCTAAACTAAATATATATTTATTAATTTAATAAAGTTTTATAAATTAATAATTTTTTGCAAATCTATGAATTTGAAATTATCAATAATGTTTTTCTTTTTCAACCGTCGTTTCCACGGGTTTCAAACCTAGTCAAGAATATAATGTCAACATGTTCAAACATTAAAATACATATGAAAACAAGTTGTCGATCATTCTAAGTACATTAAAATAACTCATAACCATAAATTTACAACAACTCATGTACATTAAAAAGCAAATAAAGTCCTAGATGAATATAAATGCATCAAAAAACTTCATAATATTTTTATTGAGAAATAGACATAAAACCGGTGACGGAATATAAATGCATCAAAAAACTTCATAATATTTTTATTGAGAAATAGACATAAAACCGGTGACGATTGAACCGCTCACTTCCTCATTTCACAGTCCAACCGGCATGTTCAAACCGGCTTTTAAATTAAAACATTAGGTTTTACTTGGAGCTACTGACGAAGTTATCATAGTGAGAAGAGAAGAACAAGAAAAAATAAATTTATAAAATAAGGTTGGATGGGTCTTAAAGTGGCTGTAAACAAGAAAAGAACAAAAATACCAGTTGGGGGAGGAGAGGTGATGGTGGTTGCTGTTTCGGATAGTGATGATTTTGAATGTGACGATGTTTACTTGAGAGCAATTTAAAAACACTTAAATAAAATTAGGAAAAATGATTTTTAAAAAGTTTGTGTAGCTATTTTAATTACGCAATCCGATCATTTCCTATTCAATAGGAAAAGTACGAAATCGAACATACATATTTATTAAATAAAAGATGGAAGATAACATAATGTGCACAAGCAATAATAAAAAGACAACTAAGGTTTCACAAAGTTTATATTATGACATTAAAACATCACTCCTAGTATTAGAATATTACTATAATATAACTGAAGAAATTTTATATTATTACAACATTTACATCTATTACAACTCCTAAAAAAACAAAAGATTCAAACTTCAAAGAATCAAAAAATCTATCAACATAACTGTTCTGCAATAAATACACAAAATTATTTGTAGCACGCCATATATAAGATTTAGATATTATACACAAAATTATTTGTAGCACGCCATATATAAGATTTAGCACGCCATTATTGTTCTTCTTTCTTTCAATCCAAAGGATATGTATACTTTTATACCAACAAATATTATGCCAAAGGGTATACACCGAATTCTTTGGATATAATTCTTGATAAAGAATATCAACAAAAAATCCGATGTATACTCCTTTGGTATAGTATTAACAAGGTATCATTTGTAATAGCATCCTGAACTACAAAGGTACTAATAAAATAATCAGAGAAGCTAACATATGGGTATGAGTCAGATCACATGTACACATCAAGGTTAATCAGACAGGGATAACTGTGTAAAAATTTGATATCTTCATGCACATCCCACATGGAAAAACTAGTAAATCATCAAATTCAAAAACTCAACTTTCAAAAATAAATCATAATAGCCTCAGACCGTCCTAGTTCATGATTTTCAACAAATTTGCAAGTATAAAACATGCATTTCGGTCAACCATTAATAAAAAACTATCATCACTGGCCAACAAATTGAATAAAAACATATATTTTGACTATGTGTCTGAGAATTGTCTCAATATCTGAAATTTGGAATAAAAAAAGAAAAACAGATTCGTGAAAAAAATTGAGAGTATCGGAAGGGTAAAATATATAAATTAAAAAATGATGGGTAATTATAAGAAAAAGGCATCAGATCTTCCTATTCTGAGTAAGAATCAAGATACCCACATGAATGCAGGTATTCAACTCGATAAAATCACATCATTTGGCCCGTGTATCTTCGAATTCCCATTGAAAATAAAGCTGAAGAATATAAAAGAGAGCAAAAGAAATCAAAAGGACATAAGAGTTTTTAAGTAGAGAATAAATAAGAAAGGGGAAGTTGGAGAACAAAAAGGCTTAAAAGAATGGCTTGATCGAACTAAGGAAGGTGAAGACGGCGCTAATAGATTAGGGTTTTACAGGTTGTGATGGTGAGTGAGATGAGTGGTCGTTTTATAGGGCGAGATTTGTTCGCGAAGGGTTTCATGCTCCTTTTTTGTATTGACAATATGTGGGTGGAGAATATGATCCAACGGACAAGATTGAAGGTAATCATGGGTAGTTGACCGAAGCCCATTCAAACATTGGGCCATTTGGTATCAGTCATGACATATGTTAGGTTTCCGATACAAAAGATTTTATTTTTAAATATTAATATATGCGGGATTTTTAATTATGGTAAAAAGAAAAATAAGAATCACCACCCCCGTTTTGGTTTTGTTTTCTATTTATCTTTTTTTCTCTTTTCTATTACAATGAAATTACAGTTGTTTTTTTATTTAAACGACTGATATTGTTAAATAACAAGCAGTGCAACTAGCAAGGTTAGAGCAAATTACAAAATATTAATACAAATATTGAAAGCATTAAGAGGAATAACAATACCATACATTCCAATTGAGACTGCTAAGATTGGCGCGATGCTTGAACCAATTAAAGGATATAAGTTGAATTTCATCCGTCGTCCTCATAGGAGAGTATTTTTTCTTCTTGAAGATGAGGGCATCTTGTGTCTTCCAAATTATCCAGATGGTAGAATATATCAACCCCAGTTTCATCTTTTTATGATTCTTGCTAAGCCCATTGCATGATAAATTCAATAACATATCCGGCGTATTCATGGGTGGAGATGGTAAAAAACTCGACCAACTGTAGAACCATCTACAGACTTCTCGGGAGAAAAAGCAATTGAAAAAAATATGATATGTGTCTTCATTTGTATTCGAAGAGAAAGTACGAGCACAGGATATGGATGACAAAAAGCCCCATACCCGATAGGGAACCCGAAACACGCATCCGTTTTGACTGAGGAATCCCCAAGTTGACCAAGGATGGGGGCGGGGATGGGGAATCCCCGAATAAAAAAATGGGATGGGGATAACCCTAATCCCCGACCTTGGACCTACCCACGATATATATTAATATATAAAAATAATACAAAACATATATACTTATAGAAAAATTTACAATACATAAAATTTGATCCAGGTAGCTTAATTCATTAGTAATTACTTGGTTGAAATTATACTTTTTTTTCTTTTATCTAACTTAAACTCGTGCATAAAATTTTTTTTTCATTTAGTAATTACTTGGTTGTAATTACTTGGTTGAAATTATACTTTTTTTTCTTTTCCTCTTTTAATATTCCCCGATGGGGGGATATGGATGGGGGTTGGAATGAGAATTTGTGGATGGGGATGGGGATTAGGATCCCCTGCATTCCCTTTCCCCATTGCCATCTCTAGCTGAGGATGACAATTTTACCCCTCTCATAATGAGGTTCATGGCAACTGGAATTTTGTTTAGTAACATGCGCCACATGAAGCAATTAGCCTTGATGGGGACCCATGAAATCCAATGAAACCTCAATCGATCATCACATGTTATCATGTTATCCATTAAGGCACGAATCGATCTCACACCGAAATCATCGTTTTTGTCTGCCTTCCACATCCACGAGTCAAAAACTTCTGAAAGTTGCACATTAGCCACCAAACTATTTAGTGCAGTTAATTGCCTTAATTCCTCACCATTTCGTGGGTCTCTTTTCCAGCACCAAGTTCCAGTAGAGTTGGAGGCGTTAATTCTATCAATATTTTTGCAATTTTTTTGAGACTCAATCAAATACAACTTTAGGAAAACATCTTTGAGCACCACATTATTGAACCATGCATCCTTCCAAGTGTGAGTTTTATCTCCATCCCCAAGTTTTATTTCAAAAAAGTTGTTTATGGAAATGCTTCATTCATCCAACTCCAAGCTGGTTTTAACAATTAATAACCAAATACCCGGAAGCCCCTGTTTTGCCAATGGTTTTCCATCAATTCTAGATAAGCGATGCATGGAGGTAATACACAAAGTCCAAAGACTATTAAATTCACATTTTAGACGACATAACCATTTGGTAAGAAGAGCAGCATTCGTCATTTTAAGGCAACCAATGTCAAGTCCGCCCTTACATTTAGGGCGTACCAAGGTACTTCAAGCGACCCGGTGAATCT